GAAATGGTTCCTAACTGCTCTAAATGTTTAATTGAAATTATTCCTAACTGCAATCCCACTAAAACATTCGTACATGAAATGCTTCCTCATTGCCATGGCTGTAAAACGTTTTTTTTTTCGAAATGGTTACCATTTATGATGGTTCTAAAGCTCTTACCTATTATGGTTCCTAATACCTAGAATAGATCCTTTTACCTAGAATGGATCTATAAATCTTACACGAATTGGTTCCTAACTGCAATGGCTCTAAAACTCTTACATAAAATTACTCCTAATTATAGTCGTTTGGTAAACACCTGCATGGAAATGTTTCTAATACAATGTCTTTAAAGCTATTATTTGAGTTGGTTTCTTATTATACTGGCTCTAAAAATCCTACCTGGATTGGTTCCTAATTACAATAGCTCTAAACTTCTTACCGAAAATAGTCCTAAATTACAATGGTTCTAAAGTTCTTACCTATCATAGTCGCAAATTACAATGGTTCTAAAATTCTTACCTAAAATAGTCCCAAAATACAATGCTTCTAAACTTCTTACCTAAAATAGTCCCAAATTATAATAGTTCTGCAACTCTTATCCTAAATGATTTCTAATTAGAGTGTCTTTGCAAACTCTTACCTGAAATGAATTGTACATGCAATGGCTTTAAAACTCTTACAGAAGGATGTTCTTGAATACAATGGCACAAAAACATTTTACCTGAAATGGTTATTGATTGCGATGACTCTTAACATTTTACTTGCAATGGTTATTAATTACGATGACTCTTAACTTTTTATCTGAAATAGTTATTAATTATGAGGACTCTTAACATTTAGACGCTAATGGTACCTTCTCACCTGCTCTATTCTTGATTAAATGTATAATTTCTAGTTATTATGGTTCTAAACTTTTGAAACACCTTTGCTTAGAATTGAACAACAACGCCAGGACAGCATGTGTTCTGTTTAATTTCCATTGCATATCAATAAAGCAAGCAAATTAAGAGTGTGTTTCTTGTAAACATGTTTCTAACACCTCTTGGCATTTTAATTAATTTTACTATGTATACCCCAAGTGCCTATTGTAACATATAATAATAAAACCCTTAGCGGTAAGCCACGTTTTTGTGTCAAGTGATATCTAAACCATAAAATTACATTATGCCAGAAAATGCGTAAATTATTCTAACGTGTCACTTGATTTATCTTGAATGTCATTTTCACAAGGACTCGTCTCTAATGAGCGCATTCAGTGAAATTGCCGTGTGGTCCAAGAACTTTGTAATTATTCAGGTTTTTATTTTCTGTATGTGTAGCATACTAATTTGATTTTGGACTCAAAATGCTGATTTTCCACCAGTATGTGGAAACATTCCTGCTGAATTAAAGTTCATCCCCGATTTTTTTTCCGGATATTTTAATGAGTACGACGAATGTTCAAATTGCTAACTAGACAGGTTTGTTTCTTGTAATTAATTTAACATTTGCTCAAAATTCCGTTTACGTTGGCGTAGAGTGAGACAAGTATAGATAACACTGGATATCGAATAGAGACAGGTCATAACTGCAAGTGCAGTCAATGAAAATGTACACGATTCATTTAGAAAATGGTTTTAAATAAATAATCTGATGTTTCTTTGTTATTTCGTTCTTGCACTTAGATGTTAATGGTATTTTCTCACCTGCTCTATTCTTGATTAAATGTACAATGTGGGCACATCTTTAAACTTCGATTCGTCCTGAGAGAAAGAGAGAGATAGAGTACATAAGAGCAGATATATTTTCTAACTGGAAAAAAAGTAGTTTCAAGGTTGATATTGTCGAAGTCTACAGATGTTTGCTGTGTTTGTGTGAGTGTGTAGCTGCTCCTTTAGTGTTAAAGGTAGAGTTATGTCCTCTAATACGTTGACAATAAGAATGTCTGGGAAATTCTTTGAGATCAAACGTAACAAGATGCCAATTTCCTTTAAACGCAAGAGTCCTCGTAAATAGTCACTGAAAGATCGCATGTCATTGCCTTGAATTTCAGAGAAGCAATTATCAACAAAATTATCATTAGACAAGAACATGAACAAGCCGTAAAACGACCAATGGTTAATGACGTTACATTACTCTAGTTCAAGGGTCTCAAATTCAAAACATCTTGAGAACCGCATAAGTTCGTTTTCAATGGCCCAAAGACAACACCACCTTTGTTATCTCTCATGACACCATGTGACACCAATCATTTTGCTAGCTACAAGATACGGCTTGGTTCGCCGCATGCGGATCGCGGGACGCGTGTTTGAGACCCATGCTCTAGGCAAACGTTATTAAGGACTGTTGACTTTTCCAAACGCTAACCTTAAATATTTCACAAGAATGAAATAACAGAAATGATAATGTACTAAAACAAATTGATATTCAATTAATGCCTTTTGATTTCATTTCTTATGAGCTAAACTTAATCAATTGTGTTGGCATGTGCTACGTTCAGTGGTGAATCAGTCAGGCCAAAATGTTAACTATAGGTGCGTAATAGATAGTCCCTAGAATTTTATTACATTTCCAACGATTTCAGTCTCATTAGGCTGTCATTGATAAACATATCGAAACATTGACGTCACTCCAGCGGATCACACCTGAGACCTATCTTATTTTGAACAAATAGCCCAGCTGTTACCAATCAAGAATTCTTCTCTCAGGGTACTCTTTTCAATGATGAGTACATTTGTTGAGTGTATATTCACAGCGTTTTAAAGGTAGATTAAAATGTCATATGACAATGAAGTCCATTTGTACTTTTCTGGTTACTTACCACTAAACTGATCTGTAATCATATTTATTTTGTGTAAGAATAAATAGGTTTCATCAATAGTAAATTCGAAAATTAGTTATTGACGATCAATATGGCAAGAATAATGGAAATATATCTATAAAAATTGCGAAAATTAAATAGATAAAGAATATTTGTCAATTAATCTCAAACCTGGCACGCGTCCCTAAAAAGATCGGTATCTCTTGATCTCCTTTAAGTGTTATAACTGACAGAGCCTTGAGAAGCTACAATGGAGGAGTCCAAGTGTCAACCACTCATCAAGGAGTGCTAACAGAATGGATGGAAAGCCTGGACTCCAATGTCGGAAATAGGATGCGGAGGCTTTGCAGCACACACATTTTAGCCATGCCTTGGGAATCATTGAGATGAAAGTACCTAGCCGCAGGAATTTAGTTACCAAAACTGGCATATATATAAATATATATATATATATATATATATATATATATATATATATATATATATATATATATATATACATACATACATACATACATACATACACATACATACATACATACATACATACATACATACATACATACATACATACATACATACATACATACATACATACATACATACATACATACATACATATATGTACGTACGTACGTACGTACATACATACATACATACATACATACATACATACATACATACATACATACATACATACATACATACATACATACATACATACATACATACATACATACATACATACATACATACATACATACATACATACATACATACATACATACATACATACATACATACATACATACGGATGTTGTTATGATTCAATAAGTAACCATCTGAAGACCATCTTACCTTGCGAAAGCCATAAACAGTGGCTGTTACGTGAAAACATAATATGAAGAGAGAGATTAATCAACTTTTACTATAAGCTAGATAGTTCCTGTTGCTAAGTTACCATCCGAAAGGCAATAATAAAATGAATGAGGTAACATAGGTTGTGACTGGCTGTTCGCAAACTCTTATATGCAGCTGCTAGAACAATGATTTCATTCTTTGAGGATTTAAAAACAAAAAGCTAAGGATTTATGAATTTTATCCAGAGGGTAGACAGAGACAAAGGGAAAATATAATTATTTATATTTAGCTGAAATACACATTATATAAATATCAGATTTTAAATAAAGAAATAAAGTATATAGTGATGAGTTTGGTATTACAAATCTGCAATGAAAAGAATAAATTGTCAGTATTCGTATTGCTCTCAAGTCCCAATAGCATATACTTATTACTGTGAAGCCCCTGTAATACCTGCATATCAGTATAAACACGAATCCATCCGTAATCAAACTTTCGACAGTGCTTTGATAATTTCATTCGTTCACGCTTTCTATATGCTATGAACTATAGAAAATGTGTTGTTTGCCGCACTTGACTCAGTATTAAAAACTTGCTTTGGGCTGTACTTGATTTAGATCTTGAAGAAAACGTGCTTGACTCTTAACATAATTATTTTTCCTCTATTGTCTCTGGGCTATTAAAAAAACTTTGTGCAGTGAATCACAATTTTCACTTCTGGGTCAGCATCAATGCTTCATTAATCAGTGTGTACTCCGGACAAAATATACACAACCACATTGTGGTGTCTATATTTCAAAGCATAAGGAATTGCCAATGTTATTACCTAGATTGCTCAAATCGAACTCTTGCATCACCACTAAAACGAGAGAGGAAACAATGCTCTAAAAAAAGACTGACACTACATACGTGGAAACTTAACAGGGAGTAATATTAAAACCTGAATCGTATCATGCTGTGGGCTGTGCTTAACTAAAATATTGAAGAAACGTGTTGTGGGCCATCCTTGAATCAGATATTGAAATAAAAATATGTTGCGAGGCTTTTTGAATCAGATACTCGACATGATATTTAACAACAAACAATCCTAAACTTCTGTTTGGTAAATCTTGTCTTAATGAGTGTGTGTCTGTGTGTGTGTGTGATTTGGATTTTTAACGTAGTTTTAACAGTTTTTCAGTCATATCTCTAAGATGTTTGCAGTCTGGCAGTCTATAATAATGTCTAGCACTGGGGCATCATGCCGCAGACATGTAGCATGATGTTTCACCCAATGACATTATCTTGACACACATTAAGCTCTTAATGCTGAGCACCAAGCGAGGCAGCTATTAGTACCATTTTCATAAATCTTTGGTATGACTCGGCCGGGGATCGAAACCTCCCGCATACGAGGTGGACGCTCTAACCACTGGGCCACCGGAGCGCGGTATAATCTTGTCTGAAAGCATTCAGAAGCTGCTTAATTGTACAGAGCACATGCTTTTCGTCATTAAAATATCATCAAAAAATCTAAATACATTAAACTATTAATTGATCGTATTCACATTTCTTCCAATCCAGTCACAAGCTACCTTCAAAACATTTTGTTAACTCGGGAGAATGATAAAGGCAATTGTTCATTGATCTTGTTTAATTTGTCTATCTATCGTCTCAGTAGTTGTGCATTTGATGGTACGAATTGTTGGGAAGCCTAACTGCCTATTAAATGTTATTAGGAAGCATATATCATGATTGCTTGGTTTTATTCATATTTGAAAACGAATAGAACATTGCAATACACGAAGTGGTTTTCTTATCTAAGCAAATCTAACACTCGCGTAAATTCTGTTAAACGTCACTCGTTCTCCCGTTATTTCCAAGGACTTCTCGACAACTGTCGTTGTTAACTGGAATATCTAATAATACGCCAAGACTTTAATAATTTTCCTCTAAGCAATTAATGACCACAGTAATACAACTTAATATTTGCATCACAACTTCACAATTGCTTACCAACCTCACAACTCCGTGGTTTCTCTTTTTTAGATACCAGTAATATAGCGCCAGTACTTACCGCCGTGGAAACATAAATAAAACTCAACCACCAAATACATCGAACTATTTTTCTACTCTATCACTTGGTGATTCTAACCATTAATTTATGCCTCATTTCCCATGTATCCCTCCACCGTATATTCCTTCAAAGCAATACCAAAAGGAGTCTCCAGAAAATCGAGCTACCCCATCAATAATATATCATAGTACAAAATATCAATCCCTATCACAAATAGTTCATGCAGATATACACAATCAATCAGAGAATAGCATTTTAATAGGAACTAATTTGCTTCATGCCACTTATCCGGCTTTGACCTGGACTCAATAGAAAACTAAACCACACCATCAACACTGAACTATTTGACGATTTACCCTTGACATTGGCTAATTACTCGAATTGAAGAATATTTGACCAACACCTACTTCCATAATCAAACAACTAATCACAAAAATTTACTAAATCGATAACATTGGGACGAGCATACAAACAGCACATACCATAGATTTATTACAATATGATGTAAAAGAAGAAATATAACTAGTACTCACATACAGTGGCAAAATACGCTGACAGATCTCTAAGGATAGGTCACGAATGCTAATGCAAAGCAACCATATTTCAAAGCTGATTAGTCTGAAAGATAGCTTAAATGTCAAAGTTGTTCAAGGATTAAGTCAAGATATCTTATTTGAATAATAACTCAATTTATTTATTTGTCGTTTCAATATAAATGCATTTAATAGCATACTAATATAGGTGTCATTCAGTTCAGTTCATGTGCTTATCTCATTAAAAGAAACCGCGAACATTGAATTTTCTACAAAGATTGTTTACATCGTCTTTTTCTACTAATATAAATGGTAACTATATTATTCGTGTAGTTTTCGCATCTTAATAATTGATCAATGTCATGGCAAAATCATAAACTCTGCTGTATGATTACATGTTCCCAATTGACAATTTTTCAAACTGAATTTTTCAAACTTTCATCATGGAAACCTTAAAAAAAAACCAGGATCTGACACAGATGATGAACCATGTGGCGTGGATTCATTTCCATGCTTCATGATAATACAATCCGAAGATGCCACTACACTTTTTCCTTTCGTCATAGAAAAGACAATAACCGGATTGATTGGATCGCCAAAAAGTGTTAAAAAGTTGAAATCGGGTTGTCTACTTGTTGAATGTCAGCGACGAGGTCAAACAGAAAACCTCAAAAAAATAAAAACATTCTTCGATATTCCAGCGTCGTCATTCGCCCACACAACATTGAATACCTCCAAAGGTGTTATTCACTGTCGTGACTTGGCTGGACTCACCGACACAGATATCATTGAAGGAATGAAAAATGAAGGTATCAAACGTAATAACAATCTGCAGGACACCAATAATATTATACTCACGTTCAATAAACCAACAGTACCCAAAGTGGTCAAAGTTGGGTTTTTGCAAGTGAAGGTTGACGTATATATCCCCAACCAACTTCGATGTTACAAGTGTCAAAAATATGGACACCAAGAAACCCGCTGTTCAAAAATCAAAAAATGTGGCCGATGCGGAGACAACTCTCACCAGGAATCTGAATGCAAAGCAACTCCACATTGTATCAATTGTGGAAAAGAGCACCACGCCAATTCCAAGGATTGTGAAACCTGGAAACAAGAGAAGGAAATTCAGAGGATCAAATATACATCCAACATTCTCTACCCCGAGGCTAGAAAGCTAGTACAATCAAAAACATCTCTTTCTGGCCCATCATTTTCCACTATAGAGAAAAACAATCCGAAGACATCGAAGGACGCTCAAACTCAAACAGATATACCCGATTCAACATTAAAACATAACACCCCACATTAACAAGCACAAAAAGCCACGGCATCTACCCAAACGACCTTTAACAACACTCAGCAAACTAAGTCACCAAAGAAAAGCAAATCCCATGGAAATAGACAACAACAGGGGTCAGATGACCCCATCAAACTATTCAACAGGTTTGGGGACATTGAGAGCATGGATGCAGAAGATACTGCTTCATGTTCTCAATGTAGCTCAAAACCTAACAAAAAAATCACACCCGTACTTCCCCCAGATAAATAACCCTATAGATGTTCCCCTCGAAAAGTCTAACCTAAATCCAAAACCTCTATTCTAAATTTATAATGAAGAACACTATAATACAATGGAACTGTCGAGCTTTGTTATGTTTTCAGGAAACGTTTTTAAAAGATACGGACAATATCACATTTAAAAAGTACTCCCTGTTTAACACCTACCTACAAAACGTTGACGTGGCCTCAGGAGGGGTGTCTATTGCTGTGAACAATAGAGCCCCACATAGAAACATCCCTTTTAATACAAATTTACAAGCCATTGATGTAAGTGTCACTCTACATCAAGTGATTACATTTTGTTCTGTATACATACCACCAAATACTAAATTATCACCAAACGTATTAGACACACTTGTTAAACAACTTCCCACGCCATTTGTTTTACTTGGTGATTTTAATGCCCATAACTTTTTATGGGAATCTAATTACATAAGCGACAGAGGGAAAAAAGTTGAAGATTTTGTTCCTAGATACGACTTGTGTCTATTTAATAACAAGTCTCCAACTTATCTGCACCCAGGAACGGGTACATACACTTGCATTGACTTAACAATATGTACTCCTTCACTTCTGTTGGATTATAATTGGAAGGTCGCTGATGACCTTCATAGCAGTGATCATTTTCCGATATATCTTAAGAACACCAAAGCCAAAATTGATGACACAATTCCACAGTGAAACTTAAAGAAAGCTAACTGGGTCAAATTTGAACACTTTGTACAATGAGACTGAATAGGAATGCCATAGTAATTGATGATGATCCAATTCGACAATTTACATCTATCGTAATTGAGATTGCAGAAGAGTCCATTCCTAAGTCCTTGACAAATTCTCAAAAAAAAGCCCAAACCATGGTTTACTAAAGAATGTAAAGAAGCCATTAAACAACGCCGAGAAGCACTGAACAAATTCAATAATCGTCCAACGCACGAAAATCTATCTCAATACCGTATTACTCGGGCTAAAACTCGCCGCACGATTAAAGAAAGTAAACGAGTATCATGGAAAAAATATGTTTCAACTTTAAACTCTCGTTCCTCAATAAACAAAGTTTGGGACACAATCCGCAAAATAAATAGAAAAGGAAAATACAATTGCCTCCAACACCTGAAGCTAAATAACATCAATTATAAAAGCAAGCATGAAATAGCTAATGTACTTGCTGATTGTTTCTCCAAAAATTCCTCATCGTCTAATTATTCCGAAGCTTACCGAAGACTTAAAACTCAAAAAGAAAAATGCGGCTGAAATTCACATCAAATAACTTAGAGAGTTATAACCAACCGTTTTCTTTGTCGGAACTTCTGGAATCCTTGAATAAGGCCAATGATTCTTCCGCTGGGCTTGACGATATACATTACCAGTTTTTAAAACACCTTCCAGAACCATCCTTGGCAGTTCTTCTGAAATCTTCAATGACTTATGGATCACTGGTAATGTACCAAACATTTGGAAAGAAGCAATAATAATACCAATTTCCAAACCAGGCAAAGATAACGCAGATCCTACCAACTATAGACCTATATCATTAACTAGCTGTGTATGTAAAACAATGGAACGAATGATCAATTCTCGGCTTGTATGGTATCTGGAAAGCAACAATTTCTCCTTTCCAAAGTGGCTTTCGTCATGGTCGTAGTACCAACGATCATCTGGTTAGACTCGAAACATTTATTCGTGATGTTTTCATAAAGAGGGAACATTTAGTAACGGTTTTCTTTGATTTGGAAAAGGCCTATGACACAACATGGAAGTACGGAATTCTAAGTGACCTGCACGACCTGGGTCTAAAAGGCCGACTGCCCACATTCATATCAAACTTCCTCTCAGACAGGGAATTCAAAGTACGAGTGGGCTCCACCCTCTCAGATATACACAATCAAGAGACGAGTGTACCCCAGGGCAGTATTTTATCAGTGACGCTTTTCAACATAAAGATTAATAGCATCACCAAGTGTCTTATTCCAGGTGTGGATTGCTCACTATATGTTGATGACTTTTTGATATGTTACCGATCCAAACACATGCATACAATTGAAAGACAATTACAACAAAATTTAAACAAAATTCAAAATTCGGCCAACACGAATGGCTTCAAATTCTCGAAATCAAAAACTGTCCGTATGCATTCTGTCAGTTACGAAGACATCACGATGGACCTAATCTCACGCTGGAAGGAACGCCTATTCCAGTTGTTGAGGAAACAAACTTTTTAGGCATTATCTTCGACTTTTATTCCACATCTGAAACATTTGAAAGCCAAATGTCTGA